AATATGGCTGGGGATGTAGCTCAGTGGCCGAGTGTCCCTGAGTTCAATCCCCGATACCACCCCCTAAAAAAGAAGAGAAATCCCTGCCCCGTTGTGACGAGTTATCCTAACATTAACCCCAGAGAACACAGAAGAGTTTGCCTCACATGGGAGTCCTGGTGTCATCATAGGTACTGGGCAAGTCTGACTGGGGGTGTGCAACCCCAGAGGGAAGTCACACTACGCATGACACTGGTAAGCTATCTTCCCAGATAGGTGGCTGCAGGACACCTCTGAAACTTGCAAAAAAGAAGTGTGTGTTCAAATCACTCCATTTAAAAAGGTAGATGCTACAGTTTGGATCTTGAATGTCCTTCAAAAGCCCATGTATAAAGGTTTGGTCCTCAGAGTAGTGGGAAGTTAATAGGATGGAGCCTAATAGGAGGTCCTTAGGTAACTGAGGGAGGAGTTCTTGAAAAGAGATTGTAGAACCCTGGTCTCTTCCTTTCCTTTATTGCTTCTTGGTCATAAGGCAAACATTTGTGCTCTGCCACACTCTCCTGCCAAGATGTGCTGCCTCACCACAGGCCCAAAGCAACAGGGTCCATATATTATGGACTGGAATCTCCAGAACTATGAGCCAAAATAACTGTGTGTGTGTGTGAGAGAGAGAGAGAGTGAGCGAGAGCACAGTGTTTGGGATTGAACTCAGGGCTTTATGATACTAGGCAAGCACTCTATCACTGAGCTACATCCCAACCTTTTCATAAGTTAATTTTCTCAGGTATTTTTTTATAGTGATGGAATTTAACAGAATTTTGGGATAAATGCTTTTATCAAGACAGGCAAGCTGGAAAATCCTCTTCTGAAGAGAAGCTCTTTTTAAGCAGAAAAAGTTTAGCAGCTGGCTGGTTTCTTAATGAGTTTCAAGGAAACTGGTTAGCAACAGGAATCAACATAAAGAATTTTACCTGCACACCATCAGCCAGGAGGAAATGTGCAGATACCATAAAAGGACAATCTCCAGGCTCCAGGGTGCACTGCAGCTCCACCACAGCTGTTTCTTGGCCTCCATCCACTCCTACCTGGAAAACAGGGCACACTTTCAGAAACTGCCATAGAGAAACAAGCAGCCACATACCACATATGAAAATGTTGATTAAAATTATGATATAATACATGCTCATTTAGAGATGTAATTTAGAAAAGTACAGAAAAGAATCAAGAAAAAAATAAAAATCATCTGAAATCTAACTATAGAGATAAAATCACTATTAATATTATTTCCTCTTCTATTTTTTTCTACATAGGTTTATACTACACCACTCTTCATATTTTCCTTACCACAGGGGGGAATGTTACTTTCAATTTATATTTTACTAAGATATCTAAAAAAAAAAAACAGATGTATTAATTTGAAGGCAAGTATTGATTTTCATTTGTGTGATTTTGTCAATTTTTTTTCTTTTAAATATAAAAGGAACAGCAATTCAATATAGCATAAATACCTGGTATCAATCTAGCCTTGGAAAGTATTAATGACATAAAGGAGGACTTTTATTTTTAAGGCCATTATTAATATTTTATATTCTTAAAATCTGTAGTATGAGCATGCATTACTTTTATAATAAAACACTAAAATTTTTAAACATTCTTTTTTTTTTTGGATGGGTAAAAAAAAACAACTCACATATTTGGGAATATATGGTACACAGAGGTGTGAAAAAATTTTCAAAGCAATGAGAAAATAACTGAATAGCAAAGTCACTCAGAAGATAAGCAATTTCTTTTTTCTAAATAGAAATCAGACTCTTACTTTTTCTAATATGTTATATTTTGCAACTTCAAAATCTTGAGGAAAATAAGGAATTTCATCATTTTCTTCATAAAACCTGAAATTTATAAAAATTAGAATTTTAACATTAAAATGGATTTTTAGGTTAAACAAAAATTTAAAATAAATGTCCTAATTCTGTATGAAATACAAATCTCAAATGCACTCTTTGGTATTCTATAAATTGTTATTCTAGAATTTGGTATTCTAGAAATTGTTAAAATATCATAGGAAGCTAAAAAGAAAAAAAGGGAAGAAAAAGGTGGGAGGATAATATCATGAAAATGAAAAGGAGAACAGTGGGGTAGAGGAAGGGGACAGAGAAGAAGTGAGGAGGAATGGGTAAGAGGAATGACTGCAGAATGAATTGACCAATTTATATCACATGAATATATGAATACATCACAATGAATTCTACTTTTATGTGTACTTGTAATGCACCAATTTAAAAAACAATAAATAAATAGAAGACCAGTGGATCAATGAAAGGGAATTGTACTCAAGAGACTTAGGCAGGAGGGTCATAAGTTCAAAACCAGCCTCAGCAACTTAGAAAGGCCCTAAAGCAACTTAGTGAAACTGTCTCAAAATAAAAAAAATAAAAGGGACTGAAGTTGTGGTAAAGCGACCTGAGTGCAATCTTCAGTTAAAAAAAAAAAAAAAAAAGAGGAGGAGGAAGAGGACGACGAGGAGGAGGAGGGGGGGAAGAGGAAAGGGAATGGTGCATTTTTAGGGATACTATATGATAATTCAAGACTTGTATACAATATGTAATAATCAAATTGGCGTAATTAGCATTTCCATCTTTCTCTGCACAATTTTCCCCCCGATGCTCAGAATTGAACCTGAGGGTGCTCTACCACTGAGCTACACCCCTAGACCTTTTTAAGGTCTATTTTGGACAAGATCTTACTAAATTGCCTAGGCTGGTCTAGAACTTATGATCTTGCCCCAGTCTCCTGAATTGTTGGGATGACAGGTTTCATCTGCGTGATTCTTGAGCTCTGATGTTGAGGAATGCATGCACCTGCACTGGAAGGCAGGGGTATGCTCCAGAAGTAGAGAAGAAAAGACTAGTCTGGAGATAGGCCACTGTATTTGGTTGGCATTCTAACCCTCAGCAATGGAATCTTTCCTCTCAGGACCACTGTCAACTCCTCTTTAAAATAAAGGATGAGAAAATAAATTCTTATCATCTATACTTTTCACTTTAAATTTTGTTCTCTTTTAACACTATTATTAATACATACAATCTGACCAAAGGTGATGGCTAATTAACACTGCTATTTTGAGTATGCTTTAAGAAGCCACGTATTCCACTTAAATAAGGTCATTGTTATTTCCATTTTTTATTCTAAAGGCTATTTAGAAAGGTAACATATTGAATAGGCTGTGCTAATCTAACTACCAGTTGAGGACTTTTTTTTTTAAATCAGTAAACTTAATACTTATATCAAATATTATATAATACTGAGAAGATAAAAATAATTATCACTATATAAGTTGAAGTAAAAAGTCAAATATGAACTTATTAAGGAGTTAGATAAGGAATATAAAATAATACAGAAGGCTACAAGTAGTATTTCAATACTATGCTTGAAGTTTACAAAATATTTGGTTTACTCAATGTCTTCCACATTTTTCTTCTCCAAGGAATTGTCCAGGGATAGATCATCTGTTTTCACTTCTAGAATTAAAACAAAACATTTGTTTACTACTCAAAGGTTTATTGTAATCAACTATTAACCTAACTGCTGAAACTGTTAAGATTCTTATATATGGGGCATACTTGCTATGAAATTCTATTTTTTAGTTGTCCTTAAATATATATAGTTATAACTATACAAGTGGGGAAAAGGGAAACATGTAAAATACTGAAAACATAGTGGGTATATGAGGTCTAATATGATTTATATTATTGAAACTCACTGATAGTCATGCAATTTTCACATAGCACTTTTCTGAGGATCCCGGAAAGCATAGTTAAGAAATATTGTTGAGAGCCACAGCCAAAGGGGCCCCAGCAAACTTCCAGTTGCCAGCAAACTTCAGACTGCCAGCTGATGATTGGCTCACAGCGGCCCCAGCAGCATCTAGCTGATTGGCTCCTC